ATCCAAGGCAGTATCAGGAGATGTCTGAGTGGATCGCCTAGATGCCAAACACATTTCTTCCTGCTCCCATGATGAGGCAACATGCTCTCGAACTCCTGAGCTCGGGCAATCCATTCTGTTCACCTTGCTACTATGGTGACTCCTTGCCTGGGATTCTGGTCCTGGCATGAGGGACCCTGGAGAACTTCCTCAGTGGCCTCCAAATAAATCCCTCACCTCAGTGGGGCAGCCCACAGCCAATGACTGACTGAGGCAGAGATAAAAAAAAAAAAAAAAAAAAAAAAAGGTTGCCTCACTTGCCCCAAAGGAAGGACTCGGCACATCGCTTGTGCTCCAGGATCTTTCCCCTGTGAAAGATCCTGAGAGGTCTAAATCTTTGTGAGCGAGCATTCTTACTTGGCTCTTTCTCCTCTCTCCTCTCCTCTCCTCTCCTCTCCTCTCCCTCCCTCCCTCCCTCTCTTTCTTCCTTCCTTCCCTTCCTCCCTCTTGCTTTCTTGCTTTCCTGCTTTCTTTCTTTTTTTGACCAAGTCTCCCTATGTTGCCCAGGCTGGAGTACAGTAGTGCTATCTCAGCTCACTGCAACCTCTGCCTCCTGGGTTCAAGCAATTCTTTTGCCTCAGCCTTCCAAGTAGCTAGGACTCTAGGTGCACACCGCCACACCTGGCTAATTTTTTATCTTTTAGTAGAGACGAGGTTTCACCGTGTTGCCCAGGCTGTTCTTGAACTCCTGAGCTCAGGCAATCTGCCCACCTTGGCCTTTCAAAGTGCTAGGATTTCAGGCGTGAGCCACTGCTCCCAGCCTTTCCTTTCCTTTCTTGTTTTATTCCCTCTCAGTTTTTTCAGGAAGAGCTCTCTCAATAAATCACATTCTAGGCTCATCCAAATGCCTGTCTTGGTCTGTGCTTTTTAGGTAACCTACCTAAGACAGAGGTGAAATAAAGCAGGAAAGAGGGACAGAGAAGAGGGCAGGAGGAGGAGGGCAGGTGAGCCTTATGTTTAAACAGGATGGTCAGGAAAGCAGGGATCCTTGAGCAGAGACTTGAAGAAAGACAGAATGAGCCATCAGGCTATTTGGGAGGAAAGCACTTAAGCAAAAGAAATAGATAGGGCAAAAGCCGGGCCAGGAGTGGATCTGAGGAGTTCTAGTAAGAGCCAGGAGGCCCGTGAATCCAGAGTAGAGTGAGGCAGGAAAATGTCACAGATGAAGTCAGAGGGTCTTCTCAAAGTCCTAGATCACAGAGGACCTTGAAGGCCATTGAAAGGGCCCTGGCTTTAACTCTGAATGAGGCAGCTTTGAGCAGTGGGGAGATGTGATCTGAGCTGGTTTCCTAGAGTCACCCCATTGCAGCCAATTTGCCTGAGGTCATGCAGGTAGGGGAAGTAAAGGATGCTGCAGCAATTGGAACCCAGGATTGCCTGATCTCAGAGAAGCTTTAACACATTCGCCTTTGTTGATGGAGCAGGAAGTGTACATCTGGTACATATGTTTAATACACAACCCCTGAATACTGAGGACAGACACGATGCAGGGACTAGTTTCATTTAAAGGGAAGATAGACATACTTGTAAGGAGACCAGACTCCCCTTATACCTTCCTTGGGGAAAGCCTTCAATACTGGTACAATTGATTAAGAGAACAGTCCACCACACTTGCCAGCAGGTCCAGAAGTTTCTAGCTACATTGCAGTTCAAGTACCTCCCTAAACCTAAATAAGTGGCATAATTTCAAGACAGTGTGTGGGAAGAGGGAAAACACTTGATTAGAGAGGTAACAATGTAATGATTAAGAACGATGGGCGTAGAACAACAGGTCTGAAACCCAACTCTGCCATTCATGAGCTGTGATTTAAATAACCAAGCTACTTAACCTCTCTGTGCCTCTTTTCTCATCTGTAAAATTGTTGCTAGATACTGTGGCTTATGCCTATAATCCTAGCATTTTGGGAGGCCAGGAAGGCAGGATAGCTTGAGGCCAGGAGTTTGAGGCTGCAGTAAGCTATGATTGCATCACTGCACTCCAGCCTAGGCAACAGAGTGAGAAAAATTGTAATTATACTAGTCCCCTCTGCATGGGGTTTTTAATAGAATTAATGAGTTTACAGTGTCTGAAACATACTGTTTCATTACTATTATGTTTTTTAGACATGAACAATTAAAGGACACATAAATGGTCATTTAAATCAAACAAATCTGCCTGTCAATTTCTGGATATTAATTTCCAAGTTTAATGCTTTCTTTGTCATCCATATAATACAACACTAAACTATAAATGAGTGCATCTTCTTTCTTCCTACACTTCTAAAACATTATTTTACCTTTAGCTGAATAATTGCTCAGCTGCTTCTTATCAATGACTGTTTTCCAGGAAGGCTAATCATGCCTGACTGTAATCAACTCTGTGTGGGAACTCTCAAATGCTTCCCTGCGCAATTGCCACTCCCCTGACTGTGAGGAACACTGTGATTAAAAAGCATCTCAAGAATTCCATTTAGATGATGACCTCAGTCTCAAACATTATTAGACAGCTATGATTTACATTGCCTTCTAAGTTAGAATGTAGAGGCTTCCAACTTCCAAATGCTCCTACAAAACAGAAAACAGTTCTTTGTGATTTTTTTACATGGGATTCTGTCAACTGGTTTTACATGAAAATCAGTGAAATGAGCAGGAAATGGCCAGTATATGCCAGGCTCTGAGCAGGGTCCTTTACATATAATTACCTTATACACCTGTGGTTAATGCCAAACATGTGGCAGAGCTGGTCTTGATAATTTGGGAGCTCTGCTCAAAGACCACTAGAACTGAGGGTCAACTTGGATCACTGCTCAAGCAATGTCTATTTTTGCTTCTGCCAATAATTTCTCTCTATAGATCACTGAAAAAAGGATTTGACCTTGGCTTTATTTTTGCTAAAGCCATTCTACAATTAGGACAACCATGACAATATCTAGCGTTTGTTTTGTGCATTCTCTATCTCCAGCACTGTGCCAGCTGTTTTTCTATTGTTCTGTGGAAACTGTTCAAACAGTCCTAGACACATAGCCCAATTTCTAGTTGAGGTCACACAATTTGGAAAATCACTAATTTTGTTATACCCCTAAGCAAACCAATTTGGTAATCAAAAAGATCTCTATGTGGCCCCTCCAATCGAACATAGCAAAACCGGTTCTTCACTCAGTCTTCTATTGAAAAAAGGAATTAAATTTTTTAAAAAAGCAATTAAACTTAAGTTTGAAAAGAAAATTCCTATGTATTTTCTTATACCAAATATTTTATAAACTAAGGCAGAGTTTGCTGAGTATAATGGTGACTATGGCCGAAAGTCATGGGTTTTTGGTTTTTTTTTGTTTTTTTTTTTTTTTTTTTTTTCTTCCATTTTTTGAGACAGTCTCACTGTCTCCCTGGCTGAAGTACAGAGGTGCGATCTTGGCTCGCTGCAACCTCTGGGCTCAAGCAATACTCCCACTTCTTGGGAAGCTGAGATGACAGGCATGCACCATCATGCTGGCTAATTTTTTATATTTTCATAGAGGCAGGGTCTCTCTATGTTCCCTGAGCTAGTCTCGAACTTCTGGCCTCAAGTGATCCTCTCACCTCTGTCTCCTAAAGTGCTCGGATTATAGGCGTGAGCCACTGCGCCTGGCCTGTGATTTTTATTCTTGACTTTGCCAGATTCCTTTGTCATCATTTGAATAAGCCAGTTAAGCTATTGTGCTTATTATGCAAAAATTCTTTTTGCATTTCTAATCAAATGAATGTCATCACAATAAGATGTTTCCTGGGGAGTGCTCAGCAGAAGGATAAAACCCCCCGTGAAAAAATGTTAATTGTAATTTTTTTTTCTATATTTGGTTGGTTTATGCTGCTGTCACTGAGCTAGGTTTTCATCTAGACATGCTAATTTAGTATAGGTCTGATTGAAGCCTACATGTTTTTAATTACTGAAATAATGTGTCCAACTCCTTTTTCTTATTAGGAAAGTTTATTAAGAGTGATACAATGGAAAATTTAAAACTGACAGGAGCATATGTGTTTTAAAACACAAGAAACGGGATGAATCTCACATTGCCTGGAAATAGTTCTTTAAATGAAAAACTTTTGAAATTTAAGAGATAATAGAAAAGTTAAAAGGACATACCAGATGGCATTTTCACTCACCAAGATTAGAAATAATCATTCAACACACAAAGAACTTACCAAAGGTATGTTTCACATTTGTGTATATAGGAGAGATAAAGCAGTCATTTTACCTTGCACATAAGGACAACTTATGAAATCATCTATATAACTTGAGAAGGCACTTACTATGTCTATAAAAATTCATAAATTAAAATGTCACATTAATTCATTCATTTGTGGCAAACTCTCTTTTCACTAATATATTTTACCTTAAAAAATATTTACTTTTTGGTTTGAACTAAAATTACATTCAATGATAGTACTTAACATTTTCCCAATGCAATTATGTGAGATTTTCTGCTTTAAATAAATTTCTTCAGTTACCTCCTTCAAACTATTGTGTGACTATGCTTCTCTTTGCAAACTATACAATCCGGAACCACTTTATATATTTTATTAAATAGGCTAAAAAATTGCAAAAATTTAATTGTCATTTATAGTGGAAAGATTCAGTGAAAAACTCATAAAAATTATTTAAGGCATAACTATATGTCATTACTAATGAATTAACATGAAATATTGTCTCCCTAAATATTTTCTAATTCAATGCCAAACATACCATATGCAATATCACCATCTCCAGAAAGTGCTAATCCAGCTATATAAATAGAATATTTGTCTTAACACTTTCCTAATACAACCCAATACTTTTGATGCATCTGTTTTTCCTCCAGGCACAGACTACTGAAGCTAGAAGGGGATCCAGAAGGATCTAACCTGACTCACCCCCTCCTCGTTAAAGAGTAGTTTTAAAAACCTGATACCAAGTCTCTCACATATAGGAGACTACTCAGAAAGGAACTGAAGTTCGCAAACTTTACCTTTGTAAAATTCCCAGAGAATCTCCGACGGCGTTCTTCACTCCTTCCTTCCCAGGTTTCAGAATTTTTTCTTTGAAGGTATCAAATGCTTTAAAAGGCATTTTGAATGAGGGGCACCTCTGAGCCGTTAACAGTCAGTCTCAAAAACTGTCATCCTTTCTCGAGAATTTCCAGTGTGGGGAGCACCTTGTTTCCTTTGGCGAACACCTGGAAGTCAATTCTCATGGAGGGAACCACTCAAAATCAAAAAGGAGATGAAACCCAGCCCAGACCTTCCAAGATGAGACAACTCCCTCCTCTCTCTGCCCCACCCCTCCAAAAAGGAGGCCAAGGGGTGTCTGGCTGGGAATTCAGCCCCTTGCAAAAGCTGCACTCTCTGCAGCAGCCTGTGGCCGCTGTCTCAGACTGAGCGCAGCCTCCCTCCCTAGGCTGCAGCTGGGGACGCTAGCGTGAGCTCCGGACCACCAGAAGTCCTGAGACCAGCAGCAGCATCCGTGGCCTAGCGCCAGTCCCTCCAGCCAGCCGCGTACCCCTCCTGCCCCACCCCAGCTCGGCTGCGGCTCTCACCAAGTGAGCCTTTCCAAGGTGATACTATAGTAACCGGCACAATACCTGCGCCTCAGCCGCCTAGGCTTATGAATGGGCTCTCAGCCAGCGCAGGCACCCAGAGAGAAGTTTATGAAACATTTACAGTTCTCTGCTTTTCTGAGGTCTGTCCCTGCAGACAGGCTCACAGCCACCACTCCATGCTTTGTATTCCCCTTGTGAGAGCCAGGAAGCCATTTTTCAGCCAGCCAGTAGCATGGATGTGGTCCTGGAAGGAACCTGCATTTGAGTTGCCCAAATGAAAAACTCAGGCCATAAACATCCAGGAGGACATTTATTTGCTCCTAATCAACAGAACAGGCTGTATCAAAGTATGATAGGTAGATGCCATTTGGGACCATTTAATTGAAGATCTCTGAGCCCGAAGATACTTAGAAACTGCACTTCTCATTGCCCTCAGGAGAAATAAAATTCTTTTTGTTTTTTCCCCATTTCTCCCTCTAGACAGACTTTTTTTTTTTTTTTTTTTTTTTTAATTAAGTTCCAGGATACATGTGCAGAACGTGCAGGATGTACACATAGGCATACATGGGCCATGGTAGTTTGCTGCACCTATCAACCCGTCATCTAGGTTTTAAGCCCCACATGCATTAGGTATTTGTTCTAATGGTCTCCCTCCACCCACCAACAGGCCTGAGTGTGTGATGTTCTCTGCCTGTGTCCATGTGTTCTAATAATTCTGCTATAAAACACATGCACACAAATTTAATGTAGTACTATTTACAATAAAATTCTTTATCATGGCACCCAAGGCCTTTCCCTGGGACCCCAAGTCTTTCTTCTTGTCATTCTGCTTTCCACATCCTCATATCACTGAACTCAGCAAGCTCCCTATTGCCTCTAGGCTTTTCTCAAGCTATACCCTCTGCCTGGGTAACTCTCTGCACCCCTTCATCTGGGTAACTTCTAAGGGGTCTCAAATCAAACTAAGACATCATATCCTCTAGAAAACTGCATGGGCAAGGTGAGGTGTCCCTCCTCTGTGCCTCCAAATCACCTGTCCTCTGCCCCAGCAGGACCTGGCAAGGAGTGGGCATAACCTAAACACTTGTTGAACCGGGACTGAAACATTGCACATCGTGGCCACATTTATGGGTAGCAGGATGACACCTCTGCAAATGCTGCTGGGGTGGAAAAATACTCTTCATCTTTGAGGCTCCTGTGTTCCAATCCCCCAGTCTGCATGCAACTGACAACTCACAGGCTGTAGGCCAGGCGGCCCCAAACTTTTTACACAGGGGGCCAGTTCACTGTCCCTCAGACCGTTGGAGGGCCACCACATACTGTGCTCCTCTCACTGACCACCAATGAAAGAGGTGACCCTTCCTGAAGTGTGGCAGGGGGCCAGATAAATGGCCTCAGGGGGCCGAATGTGGCCCTCGGGGGGGCCGTAGTTTGGGGACACCTGCTGTAGGCTCTTAGGGTCCCCGGGAGTCAATTCCACAAGACCAGTCAATATCCTCTGCAAGCCATTGTCCAAATCCTCCAAGATTCGAATTAAGTTCAACTAAGTCTGTGCTGGATCCTTGGTAGGCTAACTATTGCTAATATCTATTGAGCTCTTTCTAGGGTCTCAGCTCTGTGTTAAGTAAGCACTCTTTAAGTATCACCACAACCTTCCCAGCATGGCTTTGTAGTAAATTACTTCTTATTTTCCACAATTTTACTGGCAGGAAACTGAGGCAAAAAGAGGTTAAACTTGCCTGAGATCATACAGCAGCAGACCCAGGTTCCAAATCCAAAGAGCCTGGCTTCAACCATTTCTCATTCTCTCTATCTCTCTCTCTCTCTCTCTCTCTCTCTCTCTCTCTCTCTCCTCCCCACTTTTTCTCTCCCCCCACCTCTACCTTCCTCCCTACCTCTCTCTCCCCACACACACTTTACTGAGATGTACTTTGCATTTCAAATAATTCACTCACTTCAAGTAGACAATTCAGATTCTTATAAATTTACCAAGTTGTATAACTGGAAGCTTTAGAATATTTCCACCCCAATTAGACCCTTCATTTTCACTGTTAATCCTCATTTCTCATACCATATCCTGCAACCACTAATCTACTTTCTACCTCTAAAGATTTGTCTTTTCTGGACATTTCACATAAATAGAATCATACAATCTAGGGTTGCTTGTGTCTGGCTTCTTCCACTCACTATAATGATTCTGAGGTCTATCCAGTCACAGCATGTATCAGTAGTTTGTTCCTTCTTTTTTTTGAGTAATGCTTCATTGTAAACATATACCACATTTTTGTATCTCCATTGACCTGTTGATGGATATTTAGGATGGTTTCTAAAAGGACAGTTGCTTCTAAAAAGACAGTTTCTGGTCACCAACCTTCCCATCATAACCCCTTAAGACTGAGAACATGAAGGTCCCAAGAATCCACAGTCTAATCACTCCACCAATTATTTACCTGTCTTTCCAATTTCTGAACATTATAAATAGGACTTAGGAATATTTGCATACAAGTCTGTGTAAACATATGTTTTCATTTCTCTTGGATAAATACTAGGAATAGAATTGCTGGATCATAAAGTACGTGTATGTTTAGCTTTTTAGGAAATGAACAAATTATTTTCCAAGTGGCTACAATAATTTACATTCCCTGCAGCATGTAGGCGGGTCTCATTTCTAGACATCCTTGCTGTATTTGTTTTCTTTTTTGGTGTAACCAATCTAATGAGTGTAACATGGTATCTCATTGTGGTCTTAATTTGTGTTTCCATGGTGACTAGTGACCATCTTTCCATGTGCTTTTTAGCTACTCATATTTCTTTTTGATAAAATTTTTACGCCCCCCCCCCTTTTTTTTTTTTTTTTTTTGACAGAGTTTTGCTCTTTTTACCTAGGCTGGAGTGCAATGGTGGGATCTCAGGTCACTGCAACCTTTGCTTCCCAGGTTCAAGTGATTCTCCTGCTCAGCCTCCCAAGTAGGTGGGATTAGAGCTGTGTGCCACCACAATCAGCTAATTTTGTATTTTTAGTAGAGACAGGGTTTCACCATGTTGGCCAGACTGATCTTGAACTCCTGACCTCAGGTGATCCACCCGTCTTGGCCTCCCAAAGTGCTGGGATTACAGGTGTGAGCCACCACACCCAGCCTTTGGCCCATTTTTAAAAGTGGGTTTTTATCTGTTAGTTATTGAGGTACATGAGTATATATTCTGGATACAAGTTCTTTATCAGATATGTGTGTCAGAAATATTTTCTCCCAGTCTGCTGTTTGTTTTCTCATTTTATCTATTCTGCATTTTGGAAGTGCAAACACTTTGAATTTTGATTTGGTTCAATTTATTCATTTTTTTCTTCTTTTATGGACTGTGCCTTTGTTGTTGTATCTAAGAAATCTTTGCCTAACCTGAAGTCTCAAAGATGTTCTATGTTTTCTTCTATAAGTTTTATTGTTTTAGCTCTTATACTTAAGTCTATGATCTATTTTAGTTTATTTTTAGGCTGGGCACAGTGGCTCACATCTGTAATCTCAGCACATTGGGAGACTGAGGTGAGAGGATCACTTGAGCCCAAGAGTTCAAGACCAACCTGGCAAAACACAGTGAGACCATGTCTCTACAAAAAATATGAAAATGTAGCCAGGTGTAGTGGCATGTGCCTGTAGTCCCAGCTTCTTAGGATGCTGAGGCAGAAGGATACCTTGAGCCCAGGATGTTGAGGCTGCAATGAACTGTGACTATACCACTGTACTCCAGCCTGGGCAACAGATCAAGAGCCTGTCTCACAAAAATTTTTTTTTTAGTAGTTTATTTTTATATATAATGTGAAATAAATGTCTAAGTTCATCATGTGGATATCCAACTGTCCCAGCATTATTTGTTAAAAATATTATCCTTTCTTTAATAAATTAAATTACCTCAGCAACTTTATCAAAAATCTATTGAATATTCCCAGCACTTTGGGAGGCCGAGGCGGGTGGATCACGAGGTCAAGAGATCGAGACCATCCTGGTCAACACGGTGAAACCCCGTCTCTACTAAAAATACAAAAAATCAGCTGGGCATGGTGGTGTGTGCCTGTAATCCCAGCTACTCAGGAGGCTGAGACAGGAGAATTGCCTGAACCCAGGAGGCGGAGGTTGCGGTGAGCCGAGATCGCGCCATTGCACTCCAGCCTGGGTAACAAGAGCGAAAACTCCGTCTCAAAAAAAAAAAAAAAATCTATTGAATATAAAGATTTATTTCCAGACTATCAGTTCTGTTCTATTTGTCTATTATCTGTAAGTCTTTTTTTTTTTTTTTTTTTTTTTGAGACAAGGTCTGACTCTGTCGGCCAGGCTGGAGCACAGTTGTGTGATCTCAACTCACTACAACCTCCACCTTTCAGGCTTAGACCATCCTCCTACCTCAGCCTCCCAAGTAGCTGGGACTAGAGGTATGCACCACCAATGCCCGGTCAATTTTTGTGCTTTTTGCAGAGATGCTGCCAAACTGGTCTTGAATGAACTCCTAGGCTCAAGTGATCCATATGCCTTGACCTCCCAAAGTGCTGGGAGCCACTGCACCCAGCCCAATGTATCTATTTTTATGCCAGTACCACACTGCCTCGACTGTAGCTTTATAGTATATATATATATATATTTTTTTATTTTTATTTTTATTTTTTTTTTGAGGCAGAGTTTCGCTCTTGTTACCCAGGCTGGAGTGCAATGGCGCGATCTCGGCTCACCGCAACCTCCGTCTCCTGGGTTCAGGCAATTCTCCTGCCTCAGCCTCCTGAGTAGCTGGGATTACAGGCACGAGCCACCATGCCCAGCTAATTTTTTGTATTTTTAGTAGAGACGGGGTTTCACCATGTTGACCAGGATGGTCTCGATCTCTCGACCTCGTGATCCACCCGCCTCAGCCTCCCAAAGTGCTGGGATTACAGGCTTGAGCCACCGCGCCCGGCTTATAGTATATTTTTAAATTGAAAAATGAATGTCTTTGATCTTTGCTTTTTAAAATTGTTTTGCTATTCTAGATCTTTTGCATTTCCTATAAATTATAGGAACAACTTGTTCCTACTTCAGGATTATTTTATTT